TTCTGTAGTTCAGTTTTATATCGATTAGCATTAAGACAAGAAATACATAAATCATTTTCACGATGTGTTAACTTGAAAAGAAAGGCATATAATATAGTTAGACCTAACTGAAATGGTGTCACATGATGTATAGAAGCATAATCAAGAAATGATTCCGATATTTCGTTGTCAAAAGAGATTTCAGTGACAGAAGCAGAACTCGATCGATGATCATTAGACAAACGATGTCGATCAATTGGTAATGATAATCGAGATTCCAAATTGTATTCTTCTAATTGTAAAGACCAAAACTCACGAGATGTTGTCATATTAATTAGACGTTCATGTATACTATAATCCATGTATTGTAATGATTCGTTATCATCTTCTATTGATATTGCATTAGTATTATAAGCTAAACATAGATCATTGAAAAATATTGAACGGCTTGATCGATCAAATGCTGCGTGATGAAAAGCAATGAGAAGAACATCAAAACTGGTTATGAATTTATTGTTATCATTTTCATTTAATGATGTTCCATGTCTCACAATTTCAGTATAAAAAACATGACCAGTTGATAAATCGAAGAGATGGGGATTAATAGTTGTTTGGTAAATAATGTCTCGCAGTTCATTTTCATTTTCAAATGTTTGATTCATAGTTATTGTGAATGTTTCATGTATGTCTGTAATGCATTGTTTCAAACTGCCATTATCATTGTTAAACATGAGAGTTGTACGTAATATTTTATGCTTATTCAAAACATATCGAAATGCTTGTAATAAACGATTGAATGATAATGATCCTTGAACAATTTGTAAAGTAAACAATTCATTATAGATAGCAGTATCACTCGAAAAACGAACTTGTTCATCGAGAAAGATACGCTCTTGAGCAAAAGAGGCAATACCTGTGAATTAAGTAATAGAAATTATTTTAATGATTTCCCAATGAATACTTTTACCTTCATTTATATGTAGTGTGTGCCATAGTGTTGCCTTAATATTATTCATACTAATTGTTTGAAGTAATTGTGAATGTTGAAATATAGTTGGTTGTTGAAGAAATGGAGCAATCGAAAGTGTATGAGCATCAAAGTTAAATACTGATTGATAATGATGATAAAGTTCAATAAATAAAAGTGAATGACCACCAACATTAAAAAAACTGGTAGTTCTAGAAATGTGATTTTCATTACAATGAAGGACTTGACACCAAATAGTATGTATACGTTCTTCGAACTGATTCAGAGGCGTATCAAACTCATCGCCTGCTAAGAAAATCGATGAAGAAAATTGGGGTGAAGGAAGTTGTTTTCGGTCTATTTTTCCATTTTGATTCAATGGTAATCTATCAAGTATAATAAA